TATCAATCATATACCAAAGAATTTTTCTCAGCCCAAATACCACTCCCCCCCCCCTCTTTCAGCGACTAAATATGACCTACCTGTCGGGGAACCTCCATTACAACGATGTGCCCTGGCCCCAGCTATTTATTAAGTTATTTATTTAGCTACTCGGGTTATTTCATCACTTTTGCGTCATAGGCCAGTTAGGCAGCGTTCATACTTCATAATCTATGCGACTCAGACGCGCCATTTGGAAATCGTGAAGATTGTGACCGTCTGCGCTCCGTTGCTAATCGCTGGACTATTGCGATTGCTAATTATTCCCTTCAATCTTATCCGGGATAGAACCCTTCTAAATTGCGGTAGACAAGGATTAAGTGCTCGACCAATGTCGTGTGGTTCCCAAGTCTTGCCAGCGAATCGTAACAGTTTGGGGCTCGCCGCTGCAACTGGAATTTCCTAGCTCTCGCCTACGTTCGAAACAAGACTAATCGGCCCAGATATCACATCCAAACGAGGACTTACGGCTGTAATTATGGTCTGTTGCTTCAGGTCGTTGAATTCCTAGCCGGGGCTGACCATGGTTTCTCAAAGATCACCATTATGCTGCTCTTCTTTGTACCACAGTTATGTGTGAACTTGGTTAGGGACATCCGCAGGATCACTTACTTGTCAGCCTGTGGCAACGTTATCATATTTCTGGCGATTGCTTTGGTCATCAAGGTACGATATAAGATTTCAGCATTTTCTCTTCGAATTATCAACCAGAACAACTTGCTTTTAGGAACTCATATTCCATGAGAAGTATGCTCATTCCACTTTGCCTGCTGTGACGAACTTCAGTGGAGTTACGATAGCTGCCGGTGGTCTGATGTACGCGTTTGAAGGACAAGCTATGGTCAGATGAAACGCCTCTCGTGTTTTCATACAAACACGTAACTTTAGTACTCTAGGTGCTTGCGCTGGAGAATCGACTTCGAATGCCAGTGGACATGATCGGATTTACGGGTGTACTTAGCACATCCATGAACTTTGTGATGTTAATTTACGCTTTTCTTGGTTTTTTCGGTTATCTCTCGTTCGGACCTTCGGTTGCTGGCAGTCTTACGCTTAATCTACCAAATTCAAGGTACCTGTTCCATTACACTCAATTTTGCAGATATCCTGAAATCCCGTGAACGTCGTAGCTGTACTTTCTGCTGAACTACACTTTTCA